TCATAATCTGGTAATCTTCTGGTGATACTAATAGTTGATAGGCCCATGAAGAGTCCAATTTCCGCAAGTGGCAACATTTCTGGGATAGCTGTATCCACTCATATACGAGAAAGGCTGGAAAGCTGAGAAAGAAGCCTGAGCGTCTCTTTGAGTATATGCCATGGATTGATGTAGAGGAAGGGTACGTCTCTGATCATCCTAGCAATCTTCTGGCAATACTAATTGTTTATTATAGCACTTTTCACGAGGTTATCCCACCACATAAATATTTCTGTTTGTACGAGCAGGCAGTTTGGAAAGTGGGCCTAATTACCAGGACCTGTGCAGTGGTACCCAAAGTCTTACAATCTTGTCGACAATGGATGGTTGCAAATATCCACTCATAGTTCTAGCTTCAAAGAGGCGTTCTTACTTGTCTACTCTAAGAAGTTTGATAAGGAAAAGTGGGCTAAGGTATCAGCTGCACAGGATATGTTGTTCCTGGAGCTAGAGTAGAGGAGAACTTGAGTTGCTAAAGTTATAGTGCTGGAGTACCTTTCGCGTTGGAAAACCAGGTATTTAAGTACTTCATCGTAGCCAGACTTCTGGTAACCTTCTGATAATCGAGCAATTTGCCAAATGCCATCTCAATACTCAGAGTTGTTTGATTCTGACAGTATTCTCAGACTCTTTTCCGTCTTCTCAACGACTATCCTCATTAAATTAAGTCTGTAAGGACACAGGGCACCCAGCTCACAGTAATAGCATATGAGAGTGCGAGTCAGAGGCTAAACGGATGCTATCCTATAGGTCTACTACGAAGGATACAAAAAAGATGAAGAGAGGAACCCCCGTTGGGTCAATCTCCTTAAGTACCCGAAACGGGTCCGACTCAGCTAACCTGCCTTAACTCTTATCATGTGACCGTAACCTGCCCGACTCAGATCCTTTCCATCACTGAGGGACAGGCATCCTTACAAAGTCCCTGCAGGCCTTGAATATATTGGCAAGTTAAACCAATTCGTCAAATGGACTAAGGATACACACGATATATTCATTGAGTGGTGGAAGCTATCACGATGGTATGAACAACACTCAGATCATACTACAAAACTCCTTATGAAGATTGCATGGGATTCAACCAACTGGAGTTCTCAATACTGGAGAAGTTATCACCAAGGAGCAGACCGGCTTTCTGGAGAACCATGTGTTATTTGTACTTATTGTTCGAAGGCCCTTACGCATCCTACAATCAAGTCTGCTGGCCCAAAGTCTATGGCAACACATCTTGCATCAGACATTTGCAAAAAGAAGTCACAGATGGGAAGGATAGTCTCTATCAAATGCGAATCAATCAAATGCAACCTCAACAAGTAAGGATTACCAGATTATTACCAGAATTATGTAGGTTAATACCTATAATAAGATCATATTCTCACACAAGAGACATTTTATGAACAAGTTCTATACACAGTTATCTTGACTCATAGCTCGTTCCGCTCAGTCGAGGATCCTCATCAAGACCCTATAAATACTTTAGGTATTAGTAGGTCTGGCCGGCCTCATCAAGCAAGGTGGAGGGATGTTCTTAAGCATATATAATAGATAATAGCGTTCTAATAATCTTCTGATAATCATGGTACTTAGATAGAGGAATATACATGATTCGTTCTCACAGCTTACTAGAGATGGCGAGAGTGATGCTAATAGATGTAATACTTTAACTTAACCATAAAACAGTATTAATCGTATGAGGGACTGTTCACATGATGCATAAATCTTACACGTGATAGCCGAGTACTCACCGGGTTTTTACAGAGTAACTGAGTATTGACCTCACTCACCGAGTCGAGTAAAAGGTTCAGCTACTCACCCAGCTGAGTAACCCACTGAGCGAGTGAGCCGAGTATTGAGCGAGTAGTGCGCAGCCTAATCAGAACACTATATTATATATGCTCAAGAACATCTTTCCACCTTGCTTGATGAGGCCGGCCAGACCTACTAATACCTAAAGTATTTATAGGGTCTTGACGAGTAGCTTGAAAGATATCAAGTAGATCTCTTCCAGTCTTCCGAGGGCGTTGGATAGGCGTTGGTGGCGAGGACGGCATATCCTTATCTTCATCGTCATGAATAGTTGGAAGTATAGGCTCCTCATTATTACCATCTTCTCTTATATCTTCATTATCTGGGATATCATCATCTGGGATGTCGTATAAGGTCTCGTTAAGACGGTCAGCCCTATCTCTTTCTTCACCTTGTTGGTAGCGCATTTGTCGTTCTTCATGTGCAGCTTGTGATAAGTCTTGCTGTTGCTGTGGCCGCTGAGGATTAAACGGAGGATATTGTACCTTTGAATATGTCTCTCGGATATGTGTATTTGATCGTGGTTCTTCTTCATCGCTGATATATTGTAACTCGATAGAATTGCACATCCGTTGTCGTTGTGCCTCATACTCTTCTTCGACTTGCTCCTCAGTCATATCAACGACGTCCATCATATCTGCAAGCTTGTCACGATGACCTTGACGATTCTTGTATTGTCGAGAGTAATATATAAGCATAATACTCTTAATCGTCTCAGGATTAAGTTGACCACGTCGGTGGCCACATACGTCCCTTGCGGCACTAAAGACTCGCTCAACTCCAGACTCAGCAGCAGGAATACAAAGTATATCACGAGCCATTGCTGATAGACCAGGAAATTGCTCTTCCTTTTGTTGCCAAAATAGCAATATCTTTGTGTAGATATGTGCTATACAAGTTAGAATAAGATTATCAGAAGATTACCAGAAACTTACGAGCATCAAGATAGAGATCAGCCTCATTCACATATTCCTCTCGCTGGCCCCGAGTCCCATTTAATGTCTGACTTTGCTGCAATACTAAGGCTAATGGATCCATATCTGCATCTCGTAATCCTGATTGACTCGCAACTCGCACTGTAGAGTACTGCTCTTTATAAAGAGTCCTAAACTGTTGTTCAAACTCTGTCTCCCAATTTCGTATTGAAAAGTCAAGCTTGCAAACCTTTTTGTTAAAGTGTGAGAGCTTCACACTAGGATTTAAGATACTAGCAAATGCGAAGATAGATCCAGTATTTGTGTATAGCTTGTTATAATACTTCCTAATCTTCTTCTCTGCAGCATCGATTGCTAAAGTCATCTTTGCTGCCCATGGATATGTCTTATGCCGTAGCCGGTGCCAAGTTCCTTCAAGCGTTGATAAGAGTTTTTGATATACTCCAAGTGTATAGCAGACAGTAGGTCCGGCTGACGATCCAATGTTTGTTGTAAAGAAGTTGAATGGCCTTGTAAGATCAATGATGTATTCGATGTGCTTCCATTCTAGCTCGCTAAGTCTGAACATGTGAGCACCATGATCGCCTCGAGTATATTGATTGATTGTTGACTTGAGTTGCTGTGCTCGCAGAAGCATATGGCATGTCGAATCCCATCGAGTTGATACATCTTGAATAAGTCGAAGAAGCCTCTGAGATGATTGACCCCGGTTCATGTTTGCCTTTTGCAAAGTCATAAACCTGTTCCTTCGAGTTTGACTTGAATTAACAAAGATAGTGAGCTTCCGGAGCTATGAGATATTAGAAAAGACTACCAGAAGTTTACCAGAACTAACAAGAGAATATATACCTTTCCAAGTGTAAATCCAATACCCTTGTCCTTCTGCAACTTTGCAAGGCCCTCCATCTGATTCTCTTCTTCCCAGTTCATTAAGATCTCTTGATTTGTTGGCGTAATCCGGATTCGACCAAGGAGAGCACTAAGGGCAAGTTGAATAACGTGAGCTAGGCAGGGTATGTGTTGTACTTTTCCTCCAATGAAATGCTCGTTGTCTGCAATACTATCAAGCATTATTTCCACATCTCTCATCATTGAAGTGTTGTTTGACGCATTATCAGTCGTAATGGATATAATTCGTCCTTCTAAATGCTGCCTTGTGATAACTTTTTCAAGTATTCCACATAACTCAGCACCAGTATGCTCTGTATATATAGGTTCAAACCCAATCAAGACCTCTTGCATTTTCCAATGACGGTCGATAAATGATGCAATAACACCCATAAATGAAAGTCGAGTAACACTTGACCAACAGTCGAGCGATAATGCAATCTTTGAACCAGGAACAACATCTTGTAGCATCTCTTCTTCGATTTGTGTGAGCTTTGTTGTTAAGAGGTTTCGAATAGTTGTTGCTGAGGGTAGTGGATAGTGAGGATTCTGTAAGATAGCAAGCCTTTTCCATTCAGGATCCTCGACTGAGCGGAACGAGCTATGAGTTGAGATAACTGTGTATAGAACTTGTTCGTAAAATGCCTCTTGTGTGAGAATATGATCCTATTATAGATATTAGCCTATATAATTCTGGTAATAATCTGGTAATCCTTACCTGTTGAGGTCGCATCTGATTGATTCGCATTTGATAGAGACTATCCTTACCCATCCGTGACTTCTTTTTGCAAATGTCTGATGCAAGATGTGTTGCCATAGACTTTGGGCCAGCAGACTTGATTGCAGGATGCGTAAGGGCCTTCGAACAATAGGTACAAATGACACATGGTTCTCCAGAAAGCCGGTCTGCTCCTTGGTGATAAATTCTCCAGTATTGAGAACTCCAGTTGGTTGAATCCCATGCAATCTTCATAAGGAGTTTTGTAGTATGATCTGAGTGTTGTTCATACCATCGTGATAGCTTCCACCACTCAATGAATACATCGTGTGTATCCTTAGTCCATTTGATGAATTGGTTTAATTTGCCAGTATATTCGAGGCCCGCAGGGATTTGATTTAATGAAGGTAGTCGTTGAGAAGAGGGAAGAGAGTCTGAGAATATATTAGAAATAGGATTGTCAGAGTCAAACAACTCTGAATATTGCGATGACATTTGGCAAGTAGCAAATTGTTTGATTATCAGAAGATTACCAGAAGTCTGGCTACGATGAAATACTTAAATCTCTATAGCCCCTATTCGCGTCGGAAAATCAAATACTCCATTTCTCTCCTCTACTCTAACTCCAGAAACAACATATCCTGTGCAGCTGATACCTTAGCCCACTTTTCCTTATCAAATTTCTTAGAGTAGACAAGTAAGAACGCCTCTTTGAAGCTAGAACTATGAGTGGAGACTTGTAACCATCCGTTGTCGGCAAGATTGTAAGACTTTGGGTACCACTGCGCAGGTCCTGGTAATTGGGCCCACTTTCCAAACTTCCAAGCTGTAAAGTTTGTCCAAACTGCCTGCTCGTACAAACAGAAATATTTATGTGGTGGGATAACGTTGTGAAAAGTGCTATAATAAACAATTAGTATCTCTAGAAGATTGCTAGAATGATCAGAGACGTACCCTTCTTCTACATCAATCCATGGCATATATTCAAAGAGATGCTCAGGCTTCTTTCTCAGCTTTCCAGCCTTTCTCGTATATGAGCGGATACAGCTATCCCAGAAATGTTGCCACTTGCGGAAATTGGACTCTTCATGGGCCTATCAACCGTTAGTATTACCAGAAGATTACCAGAAGATTACCAGACTATGAGGTACCAACATCAATGCGTGCTTGAGTTAAGAGAGCCTGGATGCTAGCGATCTCTTCATCAGAAAGCTCATCTGGTAGAACAGCCTCGTCATTTAAAATATCGTCGCGCCGTAACATAAGCTCCAACTCTAAATCGTCTTCAACCTCAGTATCCTCCCATTCGCTGTTATGATCGTCATCGATTGGGATACTGGTGATACCCTCAAATGCAGCAAGCTCAGACAGAAGTTGTGGCGGAGTAGATGGTGGGGCTTGTGGAGAAGAAGAAGGGGCGCTAGTATTCTTGACTTTCTGATTCGCAATGCAAGATGCATGGGTGCCCTTTTCAGTCCTGTTTATAGTTAGATTAAGGCTACCAGAGATTACCAGAAGGAACTTACCGAACACGAATACGCTCAACCTTCAATTCATTCTGTAGACGTGTCTTGTCTTCAGCAGAGGCAGCGATATACTTTGCAGACTTGTATAACTTCTTTAAGTAGTAGCTCAGATCACCATGGTCAGCCTTGAGTGCTAAATGAACAGCCTTCTCATCTTCAGTAAGGTTGGAGACGCGGTTACGAGCTTTGATAGTATTCAAATTAGTGGAGAGTTCTTCAGGTGCCTTGCGTTTCGCCATGCTAAACACGTGATTAGCAGAAGATCATCAGAAGTTCTGACTGTAGAATCAAGATAATAAACTTACTTGAGGTCCTAGTGAAGAGGTAAAGCGCAAAAGAGAAGAAGAATGTGTAGATCGGAACGTAACCAAGGAAGGTGGTTGGTTGTAAGGTTGTTGTTTTTTTAAAGTTGCAAACAATTATATTCGTCAAGGAATATTCACCTGCAAATAATTACTGTTCTAAACAACACTACAACGCGTACCTTCAAATAAAACACATACCTTTCAACCTCTACCTCTTTCTTTACTCTTTCTACAACATCCTTGCTACAAACTCACTGTAAGTACATATATCTTTTGATCTACTTCTTTGTCTTGTGTATACTTCACTAACTCATCTTAATGTTAGCAAATGGCTCGTATTAAGCAAACTGCTAGGAGATCAACTGGCGGCACAGCACCAAGGATGCCACTTGGATTACAGGCTGGCTCTAGGCTTGGTGGAAAGGGAAAGGGAAAGGAAAAGGCTGTGCGCACAGCAAGAAAAGCTCCAGTTCGCTCATCTCAAGCTTGCAACAATCATGCTCAGAAGGCCATGCGCCGTGCAAAGTCTGGTAAGAGGATTACCAGAGGATTACCAGAACTCTCTAATAAACATATAGGCACCAAGGCTCTCCGCGATATCAGAAGACAGCAACTTGATACTCGCCTGATTATTCCAAAGCTCTCATTCCAGCGTCTTGTTAGGGAAATCGCACAAGACTTCAAGTCCAATCTTCGCTTCCAGCAATCTGCTATCCTAGCTCTCCAGGAAGCTGCCGAATGCTTCCTCATTCGAGAATTTGAGAGTATGATACTTGAACATAGTGACAGGGACATACTAACAGTTATAGTGACAAATCTCCTTGCTATTCATGCGAAGAGAGTGACAATTCAGGCAAAGGATATGGTATTGGTTCGGCGTTTGCGGGATATGATGTTTAATCATGGAGCTGTAGGCTTAATCGATGGAAATGTCTCTCACCCAGGAATGAAGGTTAGATAAGTTCTGGCAACCTTCTGGTAACCTGGTACCTAAAGGCAAAGGTTATAGTGTGGAATAGGATATCAACGACATGGGAATGGAGTTATTGAGTTATGGCGTTTTACGATATCGATATCAATGTGAAGTCACGATCACACCCCCTTTTCAATGACTAATCAAACACGTGATATAACTGGGTTGCCAAGACCTATACTAGGTACCCGGCAAGTGAGTAATCCTCATTCAACAATACTCGGGATATGAGTGAGTAACTCAGCTGGGTGAGTAGAAATTCTACTACTCGACTCATGAGTACCCAGTGCGCAGCCTAATACTGACAATAGTTTAGTAATATGTGCGCTAGGCTTGAGGCTGACTCCCTACGGATAATTGTAATGCCGACTGTCCATTTGCGGGGGAGGACTTTGCGCCTGAACTTCGCACCAAAATACGTACTCGGAGGGGCCAAAACAAGACATCCTATATGCTAAGATGGCGGAACCCTGGTTGCGCGGCGTACCTCCCGCATGCCCGACGGACACCAAGGGGAGCCGCTTTTGCAAGTGGCCGAATCACGAAAATGGCGCATTGCAAAAGCAGCGGAGTGTGTGTGGAGCATCCGGGGCCCAACCATCATATATGGCAATACGCGATTGGCTTACAACAAAAGGCATCAGTGGTTTAGTGGTAAAATCCATCGTTGCCATCGATGGGCCCCGTGTTCGATTCACGGCTGATGCAACACCACCAGTCTCCAATTCGGAGATTCATCTTTTTGCAGTTTATTTGCGTGCTACATTAATTCAAGGAGGTCGATGGAATTATCTATCCCCACTGCAAGGAAATATATTTTGCATTTTTGCATGCTATATTGTTCGAAATTGATGAGATTTTACCTACTAACGTGGTTTACCACCAAACGGAACATCCTACCAAATGAAACACTTTCCGACTACATCGCAACCTCAAACCCAATTACTCCACCCCAACACATTAAAATTAACTACACTCAATTGAACTCTCTTCTCCTAGACAGGTTCGTACATTATGCCTAGTCTTGCTGCACCTCCCATAGCGCCGCGAAGTCGATGAACAGCCTCTACAGCACCCTCTTTTTTAGCGATCAGTTTTTGAGCATCTTCTATAGTAAGTGACCCTCCATCTTGGAACACGTGTATGCAAGCAGGACGGTTTTCTTTCCGAGGTACACTTACATATAAATTTGTGTGTGAGGGTACCTACGAACTTAAATTTCCCAACATTTTAAAAACTTCAATAGTCAGCGCAATTTCGAATTATTGACTTAGCTCTGAGATATATGAATTAATTACATAGTTAGATTATACATTTAATGATACTTGTTAAATGTTGTAAAAATATGGAGTAATAAATATTTTGATATTCGTCCATATAAATTTACGTAGAGATTTATATGAGAAAATATCAACGTATTTGGAAGCGTATAACTTCTCCAAATATCATTAAAACAGTGTTCGGCACGGGGGTAGGTATATACCCAGCGTATCCGGGTATATACCCGGGTATATACCTACCTTTCTGATTTCTTATACCTACCCGTACCTACCTGAGTATCTGGGTATGTATCCGGGTATTTGAAGTCGCCCGTGCCCCATCACGTGCTGAAGATCAGGTCAGCCCTTAGCACGTGATCCTGCTTTGGTGCTACTTATTGTAGCTATATACATTTTACACGTGATCAAGTCACAAGGCTTGGCAATACCCGGGTACCTTAGGGGGGCCGGGCCTTTTTTCGTGACCATTGGATAGGATTAATCGTATAAAAGGGTCATAGAGTGACCCACACTGTCTTATGTAGCCAATAATTTGGCTACAAAAGGGCTTAGTGGTATGGTATTTTGACGCTAAGCTGATACTAGTAGTATTTCCGGAAGGTGATATTCCGACAGCTAATAAGTATTCCTATAGGAAGACACTTCTGACATAATATACGTACTGAAATAGTATTAATAGTAGTAATAAAATAGAAGCCCACATAAGAGGCTACTGTTAGAGTTAAAAAATCCAATACACATATAACAGAGTTAAATAATTTAAATAAAAAATATTGTAACGTGGTTTATCAGTATGTCGGACATATCAGTACCTTGGACACTTTTCATTGGCATTCTACTTTGAATATCAATAAATCAACCATAACATATTAAATTAACTATAACTAAGCGGAATCAGATGAACTAGACATATCTATAGCTTCTTGACAAGTTCGCGCATTATGACCAGCTTTTCCACAGATCCCACAGCATCGCCTAGACGGTTGCCCCTCCTTGCGACTACCCCCAACCGCACGTACGTCGCGTCGTACCTGCTCATCCACATCCTTCTGTGTGATAATAGCCTGTGCATCCTCTACTATAAGTGCACCTCCTTCACGGACACGAGCCTTTTTAGCCCTGCGGCGTTTGCTAAGGGCTTCGTTGGCTGCTCGAAGGGTACGTACCTCAGCAGACAGAAGGGTGTTCTCATGTGCTAGTCGCTCCGTACCCTTTGCCAATGCAATAACTGTCCCGAAGAGTGGAGTTGGCGAGCTTGCTTGGTGACGGGCAATTCGATTTCGAACGAGGGTTGTTTGTGAAAGAGCTTCAGTTGGGTTGGAAGGGGTCTGGGAGACCCAAGGGTTGGTGTTGGCAGTAGAGGGTCTAGAGGGAGTTGGAGTCCGTAACCTCACGTCAAGCTTTGAAAGCACTGCTTGCGGGTCGAAAGGCACTAAGCCAGCTCCGCGGAACCCGGACTGGGCGTTTTGGGCTGTCATGGATTCCAGATATGCTGCTCTAAAGGCGAGAAAGAACTCGACCTTGGTAATGTGGTTGATATGAGCCTTAATGAAGGTCCCAATCTGCCGACCATATGCCCGCTTCAACACACTAAAGCACCCGACATCAAGTGGCTGAGTTAAATGAGACGAGTGGGGAGGTAGTCCAAGAGTTATAATGTTGTGTGCCTTGCAGTACTCTTGGAACTCGGCCGATTCATGACTCTCGTGCCCGTCTAACACCAGCATTCGATATGGACCCCTTGCACGAACAGCAGTATGTTTGTCGAAGTGTTTCAACCATTCTAGACCCGTCTCATTGTTTGTCCATCCATTGCTTGTTGGTTTAACAACCCAGTTGTGTGGAAGGCCGCCGTCTGTATACCAATTTGCAAGATGATTCTTGCCTTTAACTACCAAAAATGGAGGAATACTCCAGCCGTCACTGTTGATACAAGCAATCGCTGTAGCCCATTCCCGATTCCCTGGCTGAACTGCCTTACCTCTGCCAAGTCGATCTGCACGGGTAACAACCATTGCAGGGCAAATCATACCCATCATAAACCCAGTTTCGTCAAAGTTATAGAAGTCGCAGTCCAAAACACCATATTTTGCCCTCATATTTTCCACTAGTCGAAACCACGCGCCAATTAGTTCAGAATCTTCGCACAAGGCCCTTTGGAAGTCGTAAACGCGATTAAAACGCGTCTTTAATTCTGGACGTCGTTGTACAAATCGGTGGGCCCAGAGCTTCCCGACGCGCCTCCCTCCACACGATTCGAGTATAAAATTTGCCATATCTTCTACACCAGCAAGCCGGGGTGCAAATCCTCTTGAATCCATATCAAGTATATTCTGAATAACCACCTCCTCTTCTAGTATAGTTAATTTCATCATTGCAGGCCGGCGTTCGTAGACAGTAGTTCGGCCGTTCATTCTGTCGCAGAGTGTAGAATGAGGTACTTCATAGAGCTTAGCAGCCTTCCGACGACTTAGATTTTTTGATGTTCGGATAGCCTCGATAGCTAGAATGATTTTTGCTTCTTGGGTAATCACTGACATAATAAAAGGTGGAAAAACCGCGTTGTGAAGTTAGAGGGTAGGAAATTCGGGAAAAGTGTCCAAGGTACTGATATGTCCGACGTACTGATAAACCACGTTATTGAATTTATATACTATAATTTATAACGTACATGTATAGCG